AGACTCCAACACGAGTTAGAAAACACTCCAGTCAGAAAGAACCTGGAGGACAGTAGCATAAAGAGTGAGTCTCTTGTCAACCCTGGCATGCTTAATCAATAGTGAACTACGTTTAAACATTTGCTACTTTTTATAGCTTCCTACAGGGTGAGTAGCAAGCAGAGAACAGCTACTTATTTCACTTTATCATGCAAACAACATAAAGAGCTTTGTGCCGTTTTTGACTAAGTGGTATGTATGCAGGAGCACCAACCCGTCATTATTTGCTGTTTTGCATTGACATTCCTGTTCTCTGTGTTCTGGCAGCTGCATCTTTGTGTGGGACTGCTGCTGATGGCACCGCCCAGCTCCAGAGGTGTCAGGTACTGAACATGTGGAAGGAGATCCAAGAGTTGGAGGAGGAGATTCAAGAAAAGCTGGCGTCTGCTGCTACAACTGCTGCCCCTGGAAGACCGACCAAAGATGTGGAGGTGCTAAAGTACACCTGATTTACATCAACACCCAGGCATCAGGACGTTTACCTGATGACTGATTAAAATGCATGAACATGATATTCACCTATTTTTCTCTTTTCTTTTTTTTTTTTTGCATCCTTCCAAACTGAAAAATAAAAAGCCAATAGACCAGGGCTATTCAAGTAGCGGCCCGCGGGCCATTTCCGGCCCACAGTTGACTTCAATTTGGCCCATCCATCCATCCATTATCTTTTACCCGCTTCTTCCATTTTGGGTCACAGGGGTCGCCGGTGCCCATGTCCAGCAATCACTGTGCGAGGGGCGGGGTACACCCTGGACGGGTCGCAAGTCCATCACAGGGACACACAGAGACAAACGAGACAAACAACCATTCACTCTCTCACTCTCACCTAGGAACAATTTAGAGTTACCAATCAGCCTAACATGCATGTTTTTGGTCTGTGGGAGGAAACCGAAATACCTGGAGAAAACCCACGCATGCATTGAGGGAACATGCAAACTCCACCCAGAAAGGCCCCCGGACCGGGGTTTGAACCGGGGACCTGCTCGCTGAGAGGCAGCAGCTCTACCAGTTGCGCCACCGTGCTGCCCTAATCCAGCCCACTTAATTAAAATTAAAATTAAATATATATATATATATATAAATAAATAATTATTATATATATTTTTTTAGGGTTCTGGGTTTGGGGTTCTGTTGCATTTATGATTCAATGCAATAAAATAAACACATTTAAAAGGTAACAGATCATTGTAATACTTGGTTTATTTACGTATTGACTTTAATTGCAGGATGTCCGGCCCCTGAGCTGCTGGCTCTCAGAAACTGTGCCCCCCTGAGCAGTTTAGTTGAATAGTCCGTAGCCTCAAATGACCATATAAGGAACGTTAACAAGGCGAGAGAGTTTAACAACAAATTTCATATTTTCAATGTATGCACTGCTTTGAGGCACTATGCAAAACGATTCTAGCTATATTTTTAAGGATCTGCAGGACAACATCAACGTGGCGCTGGACAGAGAGAAGAGAAACTAGGCCGTAAGACGGTATGTGGTGTATCACACACACTGCACTGTGTGTATGGGACCTTTTGTGACTGAGTTTTTAATGTGTGTGTGTTTCAGCACAGGTTGTTGTGGACACTTCTCCAAATACATGATGACAAGCTAACCAAAGACTCTTGAAGTCAGAAAGTATGTTCAAAATGATAAAATACAGACAAAAATTATACTAGATTGGTATATTCAACAAAAAGCAAGAAACACAATGTATAAAAAAATTGTTAATATTAAGTTCAAGTTAAGTTTATTGTCATTCACATCACGTGGTACATGAGGTGGAATAAAATTATGTACACTGGGTCCCAGTTACACCCAAAAATAGCAAAATATAAAGTGTAAAAAGAACAGTGATTTTCCTGATTAGAGATTCATGAGTCTGACAGCCTCAGGGTAGAAGCTGTTCCTCAGTCTAGTGGTTCTACACTAATGCACCTCAACCTCCTTCCTGAGGGGAGCGGGGCAAAAAGTGTGTGTGCTGGGTGAGTGGGGTCCTTCATGATGCAGTTAAATGCAATTAAAGTAGTAAAGCAATAATCATGACAGCACTCAAGTTAATTAACCTTTATTTATTTTTATTTATTTTTACTGAACAATGCTTTTAAACATTCCTAGAGGAAAAACTATATACAGCTGTAGCTACAACTTGAATTCAAATAATTTGTTAAAGTCTAAGCTCTGACTGGATCGATGCACAAGACAGATAAACTTTGTTTGAAGGAGATTTAATTTAATATTTATTTGTTCTTTTCAGTTGTGGCAACACAGCCAAACTGGTCTTATGATGAGCTATAAAAATCTGAGGAATCCATTTTCCAAGAAGCTGCCACTTTTGACCGAAACTCCCTCGGGTATTTTACTTCTATCTAGTTTCATTTAGTCAAATTTTGTTTTACTGCACAAAACAACACAAAGTTTAAAGAAAAACTCTAGTAAAAAACATTTATAAATGTTGCTCCATAAAAGGATTTTGTTTATGTTACATTTTTAGGCTTATTGTGAAACCACAAAGAAAAATTTGTGCGTTTTTGATTTTATTACTTTTTTTATTTTTTATTTATATACATTTTAATCCAAAAATACAATACACTTGTGTAAATGTGTAAGCTATTTGATTTGCTTAATCCTACTTTACTAATAGTCTAGAAGTAGTTTATTATATTAGCTGATAAATTCATACAGGGGAGTAATAGAGGTTTACTTTAATGGGAAGTTTAAAAAGTTTGTATGTACTCACTCAAACATGAAAAGTATGGCCGTCCCTTACAAATGACATAAACACAACTGGAGTAATAATTGTTATTTGTGCTGCAGACTCTGAGTCAGTTCTTCAATATGTAAGATGTACATAACAAAGGTGAGCATTCAATTTAGTGGAAATGTTTTTAAAAAAGTAAGAGCAAACAAGATCAATTGCATTTCCTGCAAAAATGCATTGTTCATGCTTATTGCTAAAGAACTTGCTCACAAAAACAGCCGAAATTAGCTGAAATGGAAGAACAAGCCAAAGTTAGTAGAAGAAAGCAGAAGGAACACATATTTGCTGAATTGTGTTTAAATAAGCAGAAATGAGCAACAAGTTAGGAAATTAGCTAAAAAACGCTGAAATTAGCAACAATAACAAAAAGGCTGAAAAATAAGTGCAAAGGCAGAAAGAAACTTAAACTTCCAGAAGGAAGTGGAAAAAGCTGAAATTATCTTTAATAAAAATGTGGAATTAGCCAAAAAAAGCTAAATTCAGCACAAAAGCAGCTAAATGGTAGCTGAAATAGCATAAAAGCTGAAACTATAGAAATAAATTGAAAGGAGCATAACAAGCTGAAATTAGCAGAAAGAAGTTAATTAGGCTGAAAGTAGCTGAAATTACCACAAAAACTTGAATTGATCCGAAATCAGCTGAAATTAGCTAAAAAATGCTAAAAAGTTAGCTGAAAATCTAGAACAAGCTTAAATTAGCAGAAGTAGAGAGAGCACAATTTTCATTCAATCTTTATTTATACAGGTTAGTCCCATTGAGCCTCAGGGTCTCATTTACAAGAGAAACCTGATTTTAACAGAGTGAAGACAACAGTGGAACAACAAAGACAACAATAAACAATCATGAAGGATGCATACAAAATGTTTTTTTTTAACAAGTGACAATAAAATGGTAAATTAAAATGGTAAATTTTGTCCAATTAGGCTGAAAGATGCATAAATGAGCACAAAAACGTAGAAATTATCTGAAAAAAACAACAACAACAAAATTAAATTAGAAAAAAACCTGCTGAAAAGTGGCTAAAACCCAGAAAGAAGCTTAAATTACCAGAAGGAAGTGGAGATAGCACATTTTTGACGAATTAACTTGAAAGAAGTTGAAATGAGTGCAAAATTATGAAATTAGCTGAAAACAATTAAATTACCATAAGCTAAAATAGCAGAAAAAGCTGAAACTTGCAGAAATAAGCTGAAAGGAGTATAACAAGCTGAAATTAGCAGAAATAAGTTAGAAGAAGCACAAACATGTTTTAGTTAGCAGAAATAATCTGACAGGAGCACAAAATAGCTGGAAAAACAGCTGAAATTAGCTAAAAGTAGTTGAACTTTAAAAAAAAAATTGCACAAGGAAGCTGAAAAAAGCTGAACCAGAACAAAAAGTGAAAGGAGCAGTAAAAGGTTGTAAACAGATGTAAAGAGATGAAGGATGTAAAATGAGCTCAATTCATTTTCTAGGATAAAAAAAAATGGCAGAAAAGGCGAAATATTTCAAAAAGTTAGAGTTGCATCAATACCAAAAGTCATAGCACCCTTCTCTTGAACAAGCGGAAAGTTTTGATTTATGATTTGTTGAAATAGCACAAAAATTGTGGAACAAAAAATATGCTGAAAAATGTACAGAAGAAAAATGGATCACAATAGTGTGAATGCGTCATAAACATTGACAGTATTATTCTAAACACAAGAGGGCAGTAGAGTCATGTGAGAAAAGTTCACTGTGGAATAAACAGTGATTTGCATTAAAGCCATTGTCCTTTACTGGCTTTATTTATTATTTTCCACATATTTCATTGTTGTTTTTATGTATCTGTTCCTCTTAATAAGCTTTAAAAACAGTAGCAGCCACTTCTCTCAAAAGTCAAACGATAACATTATTCTTGTCTCTGTTTTTATTTAGTGCTGAGTGAAAATGAAAAACCAGTAAAAATAGTTTGAGGTTGGTCATGTCTTGAGAAAGGGGAAGATGAGCATCTCAGGAAATACAAACATTTTCCATTATTTTCACGTGATTCAAGTAATAAAAATCACATTAAGACTTTGTGACCGCACCGTGGTGAAGACATTTGATATGTTTAAAAATCACTGTAAATGAGAGAATTAAGAGAACTCTAAAAAGGTTTTCAGCGGACTGATACGGTGCGACCTTTGCCCCTGATATGACAAAGTGCCTTGCTGTCTGCTAGAGCCTAATCAGAGGTCAAAGTCTGCCTCCAGGCTGACAGTCAGAACGAACAGCCGGTGTTTTTGTCCTGGAGCTCTTTCTTTTTGGAAACACCTCACTCTGTGGACGTGCACCTCTGTTTGACTGGTGCCAGTTCGCCATCATGTTGCTCCGGACTGCAGCCCTGCTGCTCCTCTGCACATCTTTAGGCATATGTGCCACTTTAGGCTACTACCAGACTGACGCTAAGGAGGAGGGGGAGGCTGCCGCTGTGAGGTCAGCTGCTGCGAGTCAGGCCGATGGTGCAGCTAAACACTTCACATCAGCTAAAACACTTCCAGTGGATAACCAGAGAGCTGACCGAGCCGAAGAGGAGGTCCACGTTGCTGGAGACCACCCCGCTCTGGAAGTTCTTACTAAAGAAGCCATCACCCAGGAACAGCCTCCTCCTGCAGACGAAGACAACGAGATCAAACCAGTCCAGACCAACAAGTCCCCAAAGAAACCTGTTGCTCAAGAAGAGGAGAGCAGCTGGAGCCTAAACTCAATCAGAAACAGTTTTCAGACTGTGCACGGATACTTCGACTCCCTTGTGGAGCTGGTTGGAGGACGCAACGGTGTGTGTCAGTACCGCTGCAGATATGGTGAGAATAATGGTGAGGGATTTTTTTTAACTAATCTAATATTGACTTTGTTAGTTTTAGTGACCTGAAAAGACTCGATTGTAGCAAAGGCACCTACGAGGTATAAACTTCTGTTTTTGTGAATATATTTGATCTCATTTTAAAACAATCAATATGTTTTGTCCTAAAGGCCACTGTTATTGAATCTTGACCGCGTAACTTTATCAGTATGGGAGGAAACTGTCTCTTTAGTTGATCAATCAAATCAAATGTTCTCATCTGACAGCAGATGTTGACTATGAGGATGTAACATTCACTCACACGATGCACTTTATTTAAAGAGCTAAATGCAGCTTGTGTTCCTTCTCAGGAGATCCTCCACGTCCTCGGCCCGGCTACCAGCTGCCAGAGCCCAACGGCTGCAGCTCCTCTCTGGTGGGATTCCAGGTGAATGCAGCTGTAGGTGGCCTCTTCATAGCACCAACAGCTCAGCATGTGGATATCTGGTCCGTTGTAGAGTGTCTGTTGGTAAACTGTGCTGACACGACGACGTTCTGTGTTTTGGCAGCTCGACATGGGAATCCCGGCTATGACCAAGTGCTGCAACCAGCTCGACGTTTGCTACGACACCTGCGGCCTGAGCAAGTACGACTGCGATGACGAGTTCCGCTCCTGTCTGCACGACATCTGCTCTGACCTCAAGAAGAGCTTGGGGTTTGTCTCCAAAGTACAAGGTGAGAAGTTAACAGAAATGTTCAGCTGTATACTTTGACCTTCATTCTTATACTGCACTACTGAGAGTCACCAAAAAGTAACAAGTACACGTCCCTCCCCTTCAGCTTGTGAATCGATGGCAGATGCCCTCTACAACACGGTGTGGACTCTCGGCTGCAGGCCTTACATGAACAGCCAGAGGGCAGCGTGTCTCTGCGAGGGAGAGGAGAGGGACGAACTGTGACACCCAACAAGGGGAAGGTCGACCCCTCTACTTTCAAAGATAAATAACAGTCATGGATATTTATAAATTACACCCTGCTTTGATAAGCTTCTTGTGAGACAGAAGAGAAAGGTCCACAGACCAGGAATAAAAAAAATTCCGAATAGAAAATTCAAGGGAACTATTTTACTGATAATAAATGCTTGAACACTATGGGGTGCTGTTTGTAAAGTTACACTGTCAAAAATTAACAGCAATATTTTGGTTTATTTAGTCATAAGAGCTCCCCCCCCCCCCCCCCAAGTTATATTTTCACCATGTAATTCATACATTTATAAATGCCATTGTGCCAAACTAAATATTTCATTTACAAGCTAAATGTTTAGTTTACAAACTAAATATTTAATTTTCAAGTTAAATATTTAGTTAGCAAGCTAAATATTTAGTTCCACACTAAGTATTTAGTTTACAAACTAAATGTTTATGTCCAAGCTAAACATTTAATTTACAAACTAAATATTTAACCAGCAAGTTAAATAATTAGTTAGTAATTTCAATATTTATTTTGGAAATCAAATGTTTAGTTTGGAAAATAAATATTTAGGTCCGAGCTAAATATTTAGTTGGCAAATTAAATATTTAGTTTAGGAATTAAATGTTTAGCTTAGAAATTTACGGTTTAGTTTGGAAATTAAATATTTAGCTTGGACAATAAATATTTAGTTTGGAAATTAAATGTTTAGTTTTGAAAATAAGTATTTAGCTTGGAAATTAAATATTTAATTTACACCTAAATATTTAGTTCACTAACTAAATATTTAACTTGCAAGTTAAATATTTAATTTGTAAATTAAACATTTGTCTTGGGCATAAACATTTAGTGTGTAAACTAAATATTTAGTGTGGAGCTAACTATTTAGCTTGCTAACTAAAAAGTAAACATGCAAGTTAAGTATTTAGTTTGTAAACTAAATATTTAGCCTCTGAATTAAATATTAAGTTTGGAACTATGACATTTATAAATGTATGAATGACATGGTGAAAATATGACTTTGAAAAAAAACCTTTTTTTCTTATGAAAGGCTAAATAAACCAAATTACTGCTGTTAATTTTTGACTGTGTAACTTTACAAACGGCACCCCATAGTTTACAACTCTTTCAGAATTTAAATTCTTTGCTCATGAATATTTACTTCTCGTTACTCTTCATTTAGGTCAAATTTGGGCCTCTAAGACTCCATTACCATAAATCACCTAATGACTCCAAACAAAGTGCCTGAGAAGAAGATGAGGAGGATATTGTAGTCAGATTAATTTTGTCTAGAGAGACAGTTAGTGAGGTGAACGGGACTCGCTGTGTGTTATTTAATGTCTGCTATAAGCTCAAATGTTAGGTTGTTGCCTGTAAATGTAATGTACATTACCGCCACCATGTTCATGTTTGATGTAAGTTATTGACAGATGATTTCTACGTTCTGTGAATAAACTCTTGTCTAATAGTGAGTTTAATGTCATGATTAACAGCCAAAGTGTAGTCCAGGAACAGTTGACTCGTGTCTGCCAGGCTGCTGATGGAACTCGACAAATTTGCAAAAATGCATCTGTGATTGTTCCGCTTGTAGTTTCCAAATCGAGGGAGTCATGGAGCTGTAATCCAGTAATGTCTGAAAGTGTGACCCAGATAAACATTCGTCACGCTGCAGTTGTTAAAATCAAACTGCAACGCCTTCGAGTTGGTTCTAATGAAAATGTCAATCGCAATGTTGTCAGTAAGTGCTGTGGCACAAAGTGGCAAAAAAAATAACACAAATTTGAAATATAAATAAACTAGAGAAATTGCATTTCCTGTGAAAATGCATATTGCAGAAAAGCTTGCTGAAATAGAAGAACAAGCTTAAATTAGGAGAAGAAAACATAAAGAACTCATATTTGCTGAAATAGGTTTAAATAAGCAGTAATGATAACAAAAATTAGCAAATAAGCTAAAAAAAAGGAAGCTGAAATTAGCAAAAAATAGCTGTAAAGTAGCTGAAAAAAACAGAAAAAAGCTTAAACTACCAGAAGGAAGCAGAAAGTGGTGAAACAAGCTAAAAAAGTGGAATTAGCTGAAAAGGCTAAAATTAACATAAAACAGCTGTAGCAGTTTTTCTAGCTGAAACTAGAAGATAAAAGCTGAAAGGAGCATAACAAACTGAAATTAAATTTTTTTTTAATTAGGCTGAAAGTAGCAGAAATTACCATAAAAAACTTGAATTTATCTGAAAACAGCAAGAAATAGCTAAAAAAAAATGCTAAAAAAGGTAGCTGAAAATGTAGCCCAAGCTTAAATTAGCAGAAGAAAGCAGAAACAAAACTAGCAGAATGAAGCTTAAATTACCAGAAGGAAGTGGAGAGAGCACATTTTTGCTGAATTAGGCCAAAAAAGCTCAAATTAGCATAAATACAGCTAAATAGAAGCTGAAACTTGCAGAAATAAGCTGAAAAGAACATAACAAGCTCAAATTAGCAGAAAGAAGCACAAAAATGTTGTAGTTAGCAGAAGGAATCTAAAAGGAGCAAAAATCAGCTGAAAAAAGCTGAAAAAAAAGTTTTAATTTGCACAAGGAAGCTGAAAGAAGCGGAACCAGAACAAAATGTGAAAGGAGCAGTACAAGGTTGTAAAAAGATTAAAATCTTTGAAGAATGTAAAATGAGCTCAGTTCACTTTCTATGAGAAAAAAGTGGCAGAAAAGGCTAAATATTTCAAAAAGCTAAAGATGCACCAACATCAGAAGTCAATGCACCCTTCTCCTGAACGAGCTGAACATTTTGAGTTATGATTTGTTGAAATGGCGCAGAAATTGTGGAACAAGAAAGATGCTGAAAAACATACAGAAGAAAAATGGATCACAATAGTGTGAATGCTTCATAATCGTTCACACAATAACACAAGTTGAGTGTGTGTACAGTAGATCTACACGTATGTTGGACATTAAAGGGGCGTTGCAATGAGCATGCATGTTTTCATTTCTTCTATAACTAGTAAATAAAACTGAAAATACTGTGTTAGTTCAGTGGCATCATGTTCTTCTTGTGAGAATCAGCACTAAGGCAAAATGAAGATGGGGCCCGTGCTCAACATTTGCTGCTCCTCAGAGTCCCCCGTTCGAATCTCCCGCTGGACACGTCCTCGGCAGCGCTGTGCGCAGCGGGTGTCTCCTGCCCCACATACCAACACCTGGCAGTGAAGGAACACTTGCTGCAAAAGTAGAAAACAGAGTTAAAAACAGGTTCACAGAGTTTTGGATGCTGCAAACTCATCATAAATTCATCTTACAGTACGGAGCCACACAGATATAAACCCACACCCGCTCACCAGCTGGCTCCCAGTATGCTTAATTTACTCACTCGATTGTCCTTGCCAATGAACTTGAAGACGGGGACCTGGTAGTGCTTGGAGAGTTGGTCTTTTGATGAATACTGCGTCACTGTTTCATCTGAGATGCACCTGCGGAGGAGGCCAAAGGGAGAAAGCAAAGTTAAACACGCAGCAGATGTCCCACCACAGAGCTCGCTCATGCACGAGTGTCCAACAAGTCACTCCATTAACGTCAGCTGTCCTCATCTTCCTGCATACCTCTCATTAGGACTTGTGGAGATGGCTCATCTTACTCCCCTGTTAGTGTCAAACAGCGAGAGAACGAGCCTCTTCTCATTTTTCAGCTCTGAGCGTTTTTGTTTGCTCTCCTCGTTTATCAGAAGTTGAAGCCACCAGTGACTTTCATTTGGCATCTCTTTGCATCCGTGTTGGTTTCCTGTCTTACAGCTGTCAAACGGCCGAAGCTACGGATTTTGTGAATGCCCGCTGAGGCTGAAACTGTTGACATTTATCACAAAGCTGCAGGACAGCGCTGCATGTTTTATACTATTTAGACAGGACTCAAAAAGTAAAATCCCATTCTCACACAAAATGCAGAGAAAGTACCACGGATTACAAACAAAGATTGCCCAGGACCCCTTGAAAATGAGACCTCGATCTCAATGGGGTTTTAATCTGGTTAAAAGAAGGAATCGAAACAGTTATTTACAAAATGCACAACTTGCTAGCCTAACGCGACACTTGGAAATACAGTAGTCCCTCATTACTTCGCGGTTCGACTATTGTGGACTCGCTCTTTTGTGTTTTTTCAAAATAAGATTGTACACGACACATGATTGGTGGAATTGGTGATCCTCTTACCATCTTGGCTTCTGAGAGACACTGACACTACTGCTACTTGTCCCAACTTTTTTGGGATTTGTTGACACTGTGAAATTTTGAATCAACATATTTTTCCTTTAAAATGTTACATTTACTCAGATTAAACTTTTGGTCTGTCATCTATTTTATATTACGAATAAAATATTGACATTTACCATCTCCACATCATTGCATTCAGTTTTTATTCACAATTTGTTTAGTGTCCCAACTTTTTTAGAATCTGGTTTGTATATATATATATATATATATATATATATATATATATAAACAAAAATAAATATAGCATTAATACCTCATGGTTTTTAACTTATTGCGGGGGATGGGGGGTTCAGAACATAACCCCCGTGTGTGATAAACGAGGGACCACTGTAGTCACATCGCTCAAGAAGTGCTTAGCATTTCTCTGAGTTGGTTCGGCCTGCAGTTTATGGAAGCGAATGTGTCTTAATTTTCAAATTAAAATGGATTAATAGAAATGCTTTTCATTTTCAAAATAAAGCTGTATGTTTTGACTCAGAAATAAAATTTAAAATAAATAGCAGTTAGGTTTAATGACATCTCTTTCTGTTTAGCAGATGATTCTTTCTTGGAAGCCCCACCTTGAACTGGGTGGATTCATTCATTCATTCAACCTTTATTTAGAGAGGTAAATCCCATTGAGCCTCGAGGACTCATTTACAAGAGAGACCTGATTACCAACCGGATCTGGTTGGGTTAGATTTTGGTCCGTAAGGGCAAAACAAAAACCTTTCTAGTGAACTTGCTGCTTCACTCGTTGCGTTTGCAGTCAGCTGTGGCTGTGAATGATATTCACCCGTCTTTGATGAGGTAATACTTGAGGCCCTGGTCGGCTTTGGGCCCTGGGGTTGCGAAGCAGCTCTCCACCTGGGCAGCGAGGCCCTCCACTCTCTCCTTTGGCTCGACGCCGAAGAACAGTGAGTCGTGCAGGCGTAGCTGAGGCGGGGTACGGTACGGTTCTGAGAACTCAGAGCTCTTGAAGAGCTCCAGGTTGAACCGGAAGACTCCTTCACTGTGACTTGCCAGCTCCAGGGCTGAGCCGCGCAGACTGGCCTGGTATCCGTCTGACACCTGATACTCCCTGGGGAACTCGCAGGTGACTGGGAGCACTAACTTGCCGGTCCGAACAATTAGGTCCCTGCTGCTGCCTGGGCTGCTCCTGGGGAGACCTGTCACCAAGTTGGTCCCTACAATCTTGTCATCTGTGACCTGGGAGGAAACATTTACATCAAATAAATGAAGTTTTTCACACAAAAAAAAAATCATAACTCTGATAAAACATTAAGTTAAAATGATATTTTAAAGCTAAAAGAAGCAGAACACTAACTAAAAGCTAAAAGTAGCTAAACTAAGCTGCAAAACTAAACTGAAAGGCCAGCTAAAACTAAAGGGAAGTCTGAGATTGTCATCATTGTACGTTCCCATACAATGGCAAAATTATTAGTTCTCTGCATTGAACCCATCACACCTGGGATACACCCAGGTGGATCAGTGGGCAGCTAGCACCCAGGGAGCAATTAGGGATTAGGTGTCTTACTCAGAGACATCATGACATGTGGGAATGGCTGGGCGGCTGCCCTACCCCTACCTCTATAACTGAATAAAAGAGGAGCTAAAAACTAAAAGTATTAAAAAGACTAGTGAAAAGTTACACAGAGCAAAAGGCTAACTAAATGCCAAAACTAGCAAAAGGTAACTAAAACCTGAAAGTATCAATAGGTTGACTAGCAAAAGACCAATTAAAAGCAGAAAAATGGGTCAAAATTAAAGGTAGCAAAATGGTACATAAAGAGAAAAAGGTGCCGTAAGAAGAAAAATAATATGCTGAGATAGATTTAAAAGATATCAATGTTTTTGAGGAGATCTCAGTGTACGGTACATGTAAGAATAGGGAAAATAGTTGTAAATTAAGCAGAATATTTTGAAAAGCATAAAAGCTACAAAAACTAGAAATCATATCAACCATCTCCTGAATAGGTTGAACGTTTTGATATATGAACGATTAAAATAGCATGTTATGTAGAAGTTAACAAAATGAAAAAAGTACAGAAAAATACAAAAACTAAAACCGTACTATGAATGATGAATAGGCGTTGATACAGTTAGTGACATTTTCATTTCAATTACCAACTTACAACATAATGGTACTTCTTCCAACTATTTAACTGTCAATAATGGTGTACCACAAGGCTCTGTCTTAGGTCCCACCCTCTTCACAATCTACATAAATAATGTACGTCAGATCATTCTTTATGCATCCTTACATTTCTATGCCGACAACACGGTTGTTTATTGTAGAGATAGAACAGTTGCTAAGGTCTTTCAGCTCTTACAGTCTGCATTCGACATCATCCAGTCAGATTCGTTCCGTCTCAAACTGGTGCTAAACGCTGATAAAACCAAAGGGATGTTGTTTTCAAACAGGAAGTCTGTACCAGCATTCCTATTTTATCTATGAATGGTGTTCCTATTAAGTTTGTTGATTCTTACAAATACTTGGGAATTTTGGTCGAAGCACATCTCTTTTAAGTGTCACGTTGAAAACCTAGTAAAGAAACTGAAATTTAAACTGGGTTTCTTTTTCAGAAATAGATCCTGTCTAACTCAGAATGCTAGGAAACACCTTTTATCTGTGACTTTCCTGCTACATCTCTTCCTACATGTCACATCGTCAGTGCAGCTACAGCGTGCACTCCCAAGACATTATTACCTGCAGTGTTCCCTCAGTGCGAACAGCATTTGGCAAAAAGGCGTTCTCTTACCCTACTCCTGTAACCTGGAACACCTTTCGAAAAGATCTGAAGCTCTCGACCTTCTTCTCTCTAAGGGATTTTAAACTACTGTTGAGTTCAATGCAAAAATCAATGCAGACATGTTCCTGTTTTCACTTTTCATTTTATATGCATTCATATGAACATGTATTGTTGTGCGTTCCTCATTTATGGTTTTTGTTTAAATCAGGTCTCTCTTGTAAAAGAGTCCTCGTGATTCATTGAGACTAAACTGTATAAGTAAAGGTTGAATGAAAAAAAAAGTGTGCAGCTGTTCTAATGTATGACGGTATTATATATACAGTATGTGACACATCTTGTGCACAGTCAGTAAAAATAACAGAACCATAAAGTCTCTGACCTCCACCACGGTGCCGCAGGTCTTGAGGCTGAACTGCAGGTTGATGTGTGTGCCGTTGGAGACGCCTCGACAAGACGAATTGGACAGAAAGAGCTCCAGTCCTCCAACAAGATCTTTGGGAACTGACACAGTGATGGAGCTGGGGTCACACCGGACTGGAACTGCAAAAATGGGAATGAAATAAATAAGATATTGCTTCTTTAAAAGGCAAAAACGAGAAATAACATGGACAAGAAGCAGTTAAAATATTCCTAAAGCATGTTATTCCACGAAAGAGGTGTTTCAGTGATTCATAACACCAAAAATAACAAAAGGAGGTGTTGTTTTATATCATCGTGCCACCATTGTCCAAGTTATAAACAGTCAGAGTTAATTAAAAAACTAAGCAGCACAGTCTCACGAGTAAATGGAGCTGGTTTATGATTTTTAGAGAACATCCTTTCTGGAATATGTTTATATATTTTGGTTTAAAGCTAATATTAATCTCTGAAATGTGAGTGCATTTGTGTCAGCACTCTGCTGGTTTGCCTTTTGATAAATGAAAACATTTTTCCTTGTGTTAGCCTCCTTATCTGCACCATCTACCTCATCCTCGCACACATACACACCCTGGCACGTGTGTTTATCCTCTCCCAGCTCCAGCCCTCTGGGACAGTGGCACTGATAGGAGTCCTGCAGGGGGGAGCAGCCATGGCTGCAGCCTCCATTGTTGGCATGGCAGCCTGCGGTCTCTGCATGAAGCAGCACAGGGGAAAATACTAAGAATTCAGAATGCTTTAATGATCCCTGTACAGACCGGTGTGTCATGTACCTCTACAGTGGTGTCCATCCTCACCCAGCGTTCGGCCCCGCCCACATTCACAGCGCCTGGAGCCTTTGGTGTTCACACACACCTCTGCACAACCACCATTCCCCTTATCACATTCATTTACATCTGAACACAGGACACGCAGCACATCTTGTCAGATATGATCATCACGACTTTGGTTTTCATCTGCTGAGCACCAGATGGGTGGAGTTTATCCCCTCCAGGCAATAAATTACATTTTTTTCTGGACTGGGGATGATAGGTACACTCTCAGGGCCTTTAAATGAAGTTGGTAATACAGTAAAGGAATAATGATGGATGGATTGAGAGTGGAGACAAAAGTTGGAGTGAAGGAGAGGGTGGACAGAGGTGATAAGACGAGAGCAGTTTGGCTGCTGGGCTCCACATTTGTCACTTATTATTACATAAACAGGCATACACACAGGACATTACACTGATTTATATTCAGTCACTTTTTCAGTTTTTGTTGCTGCTGAGACAGATGTAAAACCACAATTTGTTCTGGTTTAGAATTTTAATGAAATTGTACGGAACTTGTGCTTGTAGATGTCCATTAAAATGAATGAGAGTGACATGGATGGATTGTGGAGCAGTTGCGGTGCGTTAACAGTGGACAGACTGTAGAGGGCAACGTTATCAGCCCGTTAAATGACCGTTATCAGTTGTTATCATTAGGCCTGTCACAATAACAAATTTTGCTGGGCAAATAATTGTCTCAGAAATTATTGCGATAAACAATAATATTGTTTGAAACTTGACAATAATTAGTAATTGTCAAATTTAAAAAGAAATGTTGGTTAATTTTTGTGTGTAGTACCTTTTTTAAACCACCGGATGGCAGTAGAAGACTGTTTGAACTGAAGGATGGATAGTGAGGGAGCGAGCAGCGTCTCTTTAAGAAAAATGGGAGGGAGGCCCCTTGACGTGACATGGGCTGTCTCTCCTTCTTGTTTTTTGGTTCTCAAAATGGCAGATGCTAGGTGTGGTTTGAGCTCTTTAGCATAGCATTTTTCACACAAAGCGTTTAATAAAAAAATCAGTAAACAAGTTCTCAGCTTCTTTTTGTACAGAAAAACAACTTTTTACACGAAGGCACGGGTTTCAACCGTGAATTTTTGAGCTTCGACAAGACGAGGTTTTTCCCCCCCCAAGGTCGGCCTGTTAGCTTAGCTTCTCAGCTTAGCTGCTTTTAACGATTCAAAAACGTGATTTTGTACCAATAAAATATATTTTTAAAGAGAAAAGAGAACGGGAGGGGTCAGTGAAGAGCACCGGAGTTGAGCCTTTTGTCATCCAGTGTCTTCAGGAGAAAGAGAGAGACACGAAGAAACGATAAACCCGATAAATGAAAGTGAGGTTGATACTGTCATTTTCATTAATCATGCGATTAACTGATTTATTGTTTAGCGCGACAGGCCTAGTTATCATCCCCAAAGGTTGTGTTCAAGCAGTCCCTCCTACCTCCTAGTAGGTTTAACAGTGCGTTCTTATTGCTGATAATATGCAGCTTCGCCTGCTTCTAAAACCATGTTGGTTTTTCTGTTAACTTTATGTCTGCAAAGTGTAGTTTTTTTAAACCCTTTTCCTAAACCTAACCTTTCACCTGACCCAGAGCACTGACCCAATAACTTAACCACCTGACCATATTATCAGCGATAAGAATCTATCTTTAAGCCTATAGGAGGTACAGGAGGGACAGTTTGAATGCAACCTATGGGGATGATAACAACTGATAATGGCCATTTAATGGCTGATAACATTCGAAGCAGGTAGGACTAAATATGCTGCCATCTGCAGTGATGTGCGTTCGTTTTGGCACCCAAACTTCAGACCCATTCTGCTGGACACAATGGTTCAAAGAACTAAGCTCCAAGAGACAAATGTTAAAAGTTTTAACATTCAGAGTCTCAAGTTGCATCATTGTCGCTCAGATCAAAGCTGTGTATGTGTGTATGTGTGTGTGTGTGTGTTTTTCTAATATATCATAAAGCTCTAGGCAGATTTTAACAAAACTCAGTGTATGCATATTTAAAACTCGTTAGCGTTTAGAGTCAATGCACGACATGATGCCACTACTTTAAAAACTCTCAACCAATGTCTCAGACTATATTTGGCTTGAATGGGCTAAAACCATGAAATGCAAATGAAAATGTGTCCCAGTAATCATGCAGGTTAAACACATTCAAGCTAAAACTCTAATTAATACATTTAATCCACTTTAAGCAGATTATGGAAACAGCTGTTCCTTCAGATTAAATTATTTTTTTTCTGCTCCACATTCACGACGTTGACCTGATGCATTTTGAAAACAAATTTTATGTGGTTAATCAAAACTAGTAAAATTGTTGTTTGAGTGCTGAGCGCTGAATGACTGCTGAAACTGAGTTGTTGAGATAAAAAAGCTAAGTGCTAGCTAAAACAGCAACACTTTAACTCACAGTTAAAAAGTAGCAAAAGGCTAGCTAAAAGCAACAAAAGTTTAGCTATAAGCTAAATGTAGCAAAGTGTTACCAGAAAGTTAAAAGTAGAAAAATGATAAAACTTGGTGAGTTATTAAAGCTAAAAGAAGAAAAGCGCTACATAACCTAAAGCAAAATGCTAGCTAAAAACTTAACTGACTAAAAGCTAAAAGTAGCAAATGGTTTGTTAAAGGCTAAAAGTAGCAAAATGCTAAAAGCGGGTAAGGTGTTAAAGCTAATTTTGGTTTATTAACCTTTAATTATAGGCTAATCCTGATTAGATCACAGATCTCTTGTAAGGGCGGCCCGGAGCTGAAGACAGCAGAACACGTGTGTTTTTGGACAGTGTGAGGAAACCGGAGTATCCGGAGAAAACCCACACAAACACGAGGAGATCATGCAAACTCCACCCAGAAAGACCCAAGTCTCAACCCAGGGATCCAACGCAGGACCTTCTTGCTGTGAAACAACTGTGCTAACCACTAAACCATTGTGCTGCCATATAACAAGCCAAACGCTAGCTAAAGCCTGAAGCAGCAAAACACTAGCTAAAAGGAGCAAAAATTTAGCTTAAAGCGAAAAGACGGAGAATTTTTAGCTCAAAGCTAAAAGGAGCATAGGACAACAAAAATAGCCAAAATGCTGAAGTAGATTTGAAATGATTGTAAATACGCTTGTTTATCACGGAATAAGGAATAATAGTACAAGTAGTAAGTACCGTATTTTCTGCCTTACATGGCGCTCTGCCTTATAAGTCGCATCAGTTCATATTTGTCCAATAAAGTGGAAAAATCCATAAATATGTCGCTTCGCCGTACACGTTGCATCTATTATGCTTCACCGCTGATGCGTCGTGCTGACAACCCGGAAATGTGGACCGATGTGCCAAAAATCGATGGGCTGCCAAATGGCGGCCGCGGGAGCGTGCATGGGAGGACTTTAACATGTATTTAACAAGAGTAAATTACGCAAAAAAGTGTGACTTATAGGATGAAAAATATGGTAGTAGTTTATTTTAGTATTTATATACATATATATATATATACAGTATATATACATATATATATATATACAGTATATATACATATATATATATATATACAGTATATATACATATATATATATATATACACAGTATATATACATATATATATATATATACACAGTATATATACATATATATATATATATACAGTATATATACATATATATATATATATACAGTATATATACATATATATATATATATATATATATATATATAAAGGCGATTTAAACCATTCCCACACTCTTGTAATATTCTAAACAATGTTTCTAAACTCTCAACATTCTAAAAGAGCACAGAAAGTCAAGATTTCAGCTCCCTGCCTCCTCCGCTCTCAGCCAGCTGCAAGCACTCTTGGCCACGCCCACTTCTCAGCTCTGCACAGAGAACAGCTGATCAGCTGCAGCAGGAAGTTTATCCTGCAGTAAGGGCTGCTAAAAAGTGCAGGAGGAAGCTTTTTCTGCAGCTCTGGGCTGCACAAATGTGCAGCAGGTGCTAAATATTTTTAAATTATTAATTTTAAATAAAAATTCCATGCCGATCGTGCAGTTCGTGTGTCATGTCCAATCTTATTTTGAAAAAATGCCATAAAGCAAGTTCACGATAAACGAACAGCGAAGTAGCGAGAGACTACTGTAAAGGTAATTATTTTACGAAGTAGAAAAGTTACAAAACACATAAGTCGAATAACCCATTTCCTGTATGAGTTGAACAGTTTGGTGCTTAAAATGGCACAAATGTGCTGAAGTAGTTAAACTGCAAGAAACACAAGGAAAAAACAAACAATAGAGTGAATGTTAAACCAGCGTTCAGTGAAAAAACGTGCAAACACAACCTCTGTGAACAGATGTCAGAGTAGAACAGCATCAGAGGCAGATATAAGGAGAAGTAAAAGCATTTTGCAGGAACGATGAATAAAAATAAATCAAACAAGAACTGAAAGATCACAGCTTGCTGCAAAGATGTTAAAGATATGGTACAAAAGTCACCATGCAAAGTTCTGACATTTTAGTTTTGTTCCGCAAACTGACAAAGGATATTAAAGATGAATTTTTACCTTTGTGCACTTTGTACACCACGTTTCTTCAATGTCCAAATATTCTAACTCAAGTAAACACTGAAACTTGTAAGAAATTAATGTGTTTCTTATTAGTTTGGTTGTTTTTCCTAAAACATTTCAGCCCTCTGACATCATCCCTCCCGTCCTGTCTCACCCAGGCATGTTTGTCCGTCTGGACCCAGGACGGTTCCAGGTGCACAGCGACAGTCGGGCTTCACACACCTGGGACCAGAGCAGTCAACCTCATCGCAGATGTCATAGAAATCTGTGCAGACACACAAACACAGCATCAGCTCGATGAAAAGCTGGGATCTTGAACACGCGTCAGGTTTACTCACGGCCACAGTAAACGTGGAAGCAGACGGAGGGTCTGGGCAGGCGGTACACAAAGTACCCTCCAGGACAGGCCTTCACGTCAACGCTTGCGTTCCACTGGCAGCAGTTGTCGTTGAAGCTGGCGCACACGGGCAAGGTAACAATCCCATCGAGGAGCTGTGGGTGGCTGCCGTTAAGCCAGATAGGGGCGTGCGTGCCACAGTGGTTCTCAGGGATGCAGAAGGTGGGCATGGCGTCCCCGGCCATGCCAGTGAAGCGGTACCATTCCCCAGACACGTGGCTGTCACACAGGGGCCGGCTGGACGACTGGTTGACGTGGAAATCTGTGTTCCTCCAGGGTTCGTTCAGGCTGATGTAGGCAGAGCAGGGGTCCAATGCTGACGGGTCAGAAAGAGAATGCTTGTGCTTTGATTAATCTTTTGTATACATTTCTAGTTCCAGATCTTGTTAGCTACAGATATAGATTTATATATTGCTAAAGTTTTGCTGTTAAGAGGACTTGCTCATAGGCATCGCAACAATTACATGTTCAAGTTCAAGTCAACTTTATTGTTGTTTCCACCACATGCGTTACATGAGGTGGAACAAAATTATGTACACAGGGTTTCAGTCACATGCAAAAATAGCAAAATATAAAGTATAAAAAGAAACGGTAAAATAAGGATCTAAGATATGCACTAGATCTAAGATACGCTAGACAAATGCCAAACGTTACGCTAAAAGATCTAAGATATACGCTAAACAATAATAATGTAAAACAATCCGGCGTAACAACAGCAGCTTAATGTGAAGGGGATGTGCCCCCCTCACATTTAAAAAAATGTTTTGTTTGCCCCCCCACACACACACACATTTACCATGAAATACTAGTTCACCCAGCGCTTTCTATTTCTTTGCGAACTAATCCATTCCACTTAATAGGAGAATACTCAACCCTCTAAAAGTCCACTCCGGGTTTTCCTGGTTACCTACAACAAGTCACCACACCGCATGCAGCGTCTCCCTGAGGTCACTTGCATAGTTGCCAAGTCCGCTTATTCTAAGCAACTTTGGGCATGTTTTTTTCTAAAGTCGCTTGTAAATCTTGTGAGTCGCGGGTTGCGTTCTTTTGGGCTTGTTTTTGAAAGTGAAGTTGCTTATTTGTGCTTGACTTTCTTTCTGAGTGAAACTAGTTGATTATCTCCCAGCTCTGCACAAGAAAGCAAAAGACGAGTGGTAGTAGGTAGTTTGTCCCTTCCAAGCCCTCGTTTCCTTTTTATCGCTCCCACCCAAGTTGGTGAAGCGACGGGCGCACACCCCGAACAGTCATACTGTGGCCGACCACTAGGGGTCTCCACTCACGCACAGATGTCAGGATGTTTTGTTTTTAAAAATATGTAGAAAAAAATATGATTTGCATATTTGTTACATATGCAAAATTTATTTTTTAATCAGAGCTTAAAAGTATGCTATTCAAAGTGTTTAGCATAATTTTGCTGTTGTTTATGTGTAATGTCATAATAAATGTATGTTTATACTGTTTAAAAACGGACTCTGTTCTACACAATGTGGTGGGTTGCCAGTTGGGCTTGTTTTCATAGAGATGGTTGCTTGTTTCTATCATGAGATCTGGCAATACTGGTCACTTGACTGGGCGGGTGGAGCGCACTATATAGCTTAGCGCCACATTTTTGACAGTTGTTGACGGAGGGGAGGGGGCGTGAGAAAAGTGGAGCGCTATCTGTAGCATCTTAGCTAGTGTGTCTGTATTGCACGCCGCTAGCTACTTACGAAAAACGTAGATGTTTAACAACCCAGTAAAATATACCATAATGCAGGAAATGGCATCTAATTTATTCAAACTTTTCTGGGGGAGGACCCCCAGACCCCCCCACCAATGTGTCCCCCCCACATTATAAATCCTTCTGACGCCAATGGTCTTGTTGTCCCTTCAGAGAGAGAGTCTGCTATGAATCTAAACTGGTAAATCGTCTAAAACTGTCAAACATGTCTGGGTTGACTTCAGCTTTTTGGGTGGGGGTTCGGTTTGTTTCTTTCCTCATTTCTCCTCCAAATCGAGACGAAACCGGTTCCTGCCATCTCCACTTCACAACCATTAGTCTTCATTGGGTAGCTTCATTAAAACTCGCTCATAATTTGCTCTGTAACAACTTCGAAATGTGTGATTTTCCAGAGTTGTGAGCACAAAGAACCACAATCTGATTCCTCCTCATTGCACTAAAATGGAGACAGTTCAAAAGACAAATGAGAAAATATACATTTTTTTACTTGACTTGTGTAAATTTAATGATCTGACTCTTCAGGATTGATCATACTTGTGTCTGTTACTATATTTAAGAACAAACACTAAGAGAGGCTGTGAGAGAGATGTAGCTGCTGGTTTTATTGAACCTAGTTGTTTTTTCCTGTTTATAGTTTATTTTGTACGTTTTTTTGGTGTACCATTTTGCTGGTCTCATTTGCTGTTAAGCAAATTTCATCTAATATCTATTAATTTAAGTGCAAATTTTAGTTTTACAAGTATAAAATTATTGATTCTTGCTCAAATCTCTGCAGAATACAGGGTGCAGACCCAAAGTTTAATTGACTTCAGCTGTATTTTAGCCCAAAATATCCTCATGAAAAGTGGAAGCGAAGAATCATTTTAAACATCTCTCCTACATAAAACACAGTAGAAACATAAAAATAAAGAAATACACATGTGACCATCAGATAAATTTTAAATCTGACATTCAGTTTTCACATAACAAATGACTGAGGGTTATTTTTCAGTGTGTTTTTGTCTTTCTTTCTGTCAGGTAGTGAGGAACACAGGTGTGTGGTTACCATGGTGACGATAACAAGCCACAGGAAGCAGCTTTAACATTTCTTTTGATCTGGGTTCTCATGAGTCTTACATTTAAAAATAAAAGCTTTTCAGGGGTGTCCAATGCTGGTTGTCAAGGGCCACTATCCTTCATGTCTCAGAGGTTTTCCTGCTCCAACGGTTAAATGACCTCTTCATGTTCCACAGAAGCCTGTTAATCACCCATTGATTTAAACGAGGGGTTATGGTGCAGAGAAATATCTAAAACATGCAGGACAGTGGCCCTCAACACCAGGATTGGACCCCTCATAGATGATTAAAAAGTTGATATTGGAGCTTGGGGACGTACCTGAGCTGGCATCCTTCAAAACATCTTGTAAATTGAAGAGTTTAAAATAAAAGAAAGTCAGTAGGGCCTCCAAAAGTAGCTCCAGCCCAGGAGCCCGGTCCCTCCTAAATCCTGCCCTGGTGCGACAGACATAAAAGCCAACAAGCTTTCAGCGCTGGGCTCTTTATTCAGGGAGTTCAGTCTGTGTCCAGCTAATCGCACACGGCATCAGGAAAACAACAGAGCCGAGGGAGTAAATAGAGTGCAGCAAAACAGTTATTAGTGTCCCCCCCCCCCCCCCCCCATCCCAGTGCTCACTCAGCAGTGTAATTAAGAGCCAGACGTAAAACAAAAGGAGACAACACGAGGACCTGGGTAACGAGTGAGAAACAGCAGTCGAAGACAACCTTACACTGGAGCTGCATCAAGATCATCCCATCCGTCCATGATCTTTACCTTTGCAGGTCATGGGGGTCACTGGTGCCCATATCCATCAGTTCCAGTGCAAGAGGCGGGGTACACCCAAGACATGTCTCCAGTCCATCACAGGGACACAGAGAGACAAACCACCATTCACTCTCACTCGCACCTAGGGACAATTACCAATCAGCCCAACATGCATGTTTCTGGAGTACCCGGAGAAAACCCACCAAGTCGAACCTCTGTTAATAATATTAGTTTGTTTCTTACATCTGCTGTCAGAGAAACACAAAGTTCTGTTCGGCTTTCAGCTCCTAGCAGCTACCAACTAAAATTTATGTGTGATGAACCTACAAAGCATACACGCAGCATTTTCTCCCTCCGTCCACTCTTAGGGCACTTCATCTTTTTTCTGCTCCGCTGCAATAAAAGCAGAGGAATGAATCCATACAGCTCGGGCCGCCAGACAGTTTTTACAACCGTGGTTTTTTTTGGGAGATGTAGGCTGACCCAGAGCGCTCCAGTTTCAGCTGCACAGCAGGGGCCTGGGATAGAGCAGACTCGTGTGGGTTTATACTAATGAGGACGTCAAATCTTCCAGTTAGGGCCTGAATGTTCAGAGGAAGGAGGAACCACATCAGGAGCCATAACTCATCTGAGCTGATGAAGACACAGCATCCAGACTTTCCTATTTGTTAATCGTTTAAAATCAGGGATTTTTATTACACTTGTCTGACTTGACCAACCGTTACACCGAACATTTGCCTTCTCTTCTTTACAAGTCATTAAAGTTTGAAGTCTTTGGTTTCTGCCCAGCTCTTCAGGTCCCACAGCATTTCAAACAAGAGGAGGTCTGGACTTTGATGCAACACCTTGATTCTTTATTATTATTTTTCAGTCGTCTTGTTTGAGATTAGCTGCGGTTTTGGATCATTGTCCCGTTGCATCATGACTAGGCCTGTCACGATAACAAATTTTGCTGCTATTGTCTCAGAAATTATTGCGATAAACGATAATATTGTTTGAAATTTGACAATAATTAGTAATTATTGTCAAATTTATGGAGAAACGTTAGTCAATTTGTTTTACATGTAGTACCATTTTTGACCACCAGGTGGCAGTATAAGACTGTTTGAACTGAAGGATGGATAGTGAGTGAGGGAGCAGCGTCTCTAAGAAAAATGGGAGGGAGGCCCCATGACGTGACATGGGCTGTCTCTCTTCGGTTCTCAAAATGGCGCCCTTAGCTCTTTAGCATAGCATTTTTCACACAAAGCTTTTAATAAAAAATATTAAAAAAAACAGTAAAGTTCTCACTCAGCTTCTTTTTGCAGAGAAAAACTACTTTTTACATGAAGGCACGGGTTTCAACCGTGAATTTTGAAGCTTTGACAAGACTGAGGTTTCCCCCCCCCCCCCCCCCCCGAGGTCAGCCTGTTAGCTTAGCTTCTCAGCTTAGCTGCTTTTAACGATCCAAAAAACACGATTTTGGACGATTAAAACTGATTTTAAAGAGAAAAGACAAAGGGCGGGGTCAGTGAAGAGCGCTGGAGTTGAGCCTTTTGTCATCCAGTGTCTTCAGTAGAAAGAAAGACACGAAGAAACGATAAAGCCGATAAATGAAAATGAGGTCGATAATTTTCATTCATCATGCGATTAATTGATTTATTGTTTATCACAACAGGCCTAATCATGACTCAGTTTGGTTTAGGCTTCAGCTGTCAGACTGCTGGCCTCACATTTGGCTCCAGAATCTTTTGGTCTCCAGAGTTCAGGGTCGACTCCGTGACTAAAAGTTGCCCAAACCATCAGCCCTCCACCAACAGTTGTTACTTTCAAGTTCCAACAAAGCCATACCTGTTCAGTTTTTTTCTAACTCTCCTGGCATGACCTTTAACCTTTAACCTGCTTACACTTGTAGATGGAGTTTTTGGCTAGCAGTCTTGACTTTGGGGTGCATTTGCTAAAAACATCCACTTTTATGAAGACTGACAGTTATGCAAGAGTTTTCCCACTCGTGAATAATCTTTACTGTAAACTGATGGAATCCAAGCAGTATGAAAATGACCTTTAACCTTTTCCCTTGGCAGCAGAAGTAGTTGCTTCTCTAAGGCCATTGCTGATGTTTTCCTGACTTGGCATTGTGTTAACACACATCTGTCTGCTCCGGCGCAGCAAACTGATAAAACTCCTGCTTTCAATGAGGTGGTCGTGCTAAATTAAATACATTTGATCAGCTGCTACTTTCCATCTTAAGTCCTATGGAAGCAGCAAGGGTGGACTTAGTACACATATCTTTTTTTAAATTTTTTAACTTTGCGTTTGTTTATAGACAATAACATGGTGGACTCCAATTGTTTTTAATTATTATTTATTTTACCTATCAGTCCGTCTTTCTGTTCCCTTATAAACTCGGGTTTGATTTCAGTTTCGTTCATGAAAGTAACTTGTTTTTAAAGATTCACAACTTCCCGTCAAACAAATCGTCTCGTTCTCGAAGGCAACAAAATAAAAAATAATTTAAAAACTGTAGTTTAAACGACACCAATGCTGTTAGTGGGTCTTCCAAATAAATCTGCAAAAGCAAACAGGCCAGATACAAACTCACTGACGTGCAATTACAGTCTTTAAAAAAAGAACGCAGATCACGTTTTGGCGAGCAAAGAAAGTTATAAAAGACTCACCTACTCCTGCAACTGCAAAAACCTCCTGCAGAAGACTCGTGATGAACAAGAGAGTCATGATTTATCGTTTTGCTAAAACAATTTAAGCTCAAAGTTAAAGTTTTGTGTAACAGCAGTCGGTGATATCTAAATCATATTATCAAGTTTCTTCCTCAGCCTGAACCTCAAAGGCAGGAGCATCCTCCCATTGTTTAACTCCTCCAATCTCCTCCTCCAACCCCACACGGCTTGATGCAGAGAACTGGTCCTTCATCTGCACACGCAGGTTTAATTTCAGCCTAGATTAAGACTTTTGCTGTTCTCACATGAATATGTGCACAAACCACCAGGACAGGAAACATCTGCAACGTCTTCTTTTGCCTCGAAGCGGAGGAAATTAACCTGAACATAGTCTTCATTTCTCTCCAAGTGCTTTAATCAATATGAGCAATAATCCATGAGATTATTGAACTGTTAGAAATAAAACAGAACGAATCAGCAGCAGCTGTAAAGCTGTATATTTTATATATTTTTGTCTAAAGCGCTTGTTTTTCTTTGCTCGTCTGTTTTTGAGGCTCGTATTTGAAGCACCGACACGGTGCCGTCGATGCTGTGTGCTACTTACGTCACTTTGTTATTGCTGCGTTTTCTCCCGTCGATCCCAACAGGAACATTTCTCTCGAGTCCTGGATTATACAGACATTAAAGGACCCCTAACAACCAAAGCCTTGTCTCTCGGCTCAGGCTGACCTTTAAGACTTTAATGAAATTACTCGACAAACAGGAAGTTGAAATCACGGCCTTCTGAGAATGATTCTGCTGATCTGGAGGCCGACTTGGACTCGCACACGAGCGCAAAAAAACGTTTTTTTTCAATTACAGAAGAGAAGGCCTGTTGCTTTTTTAAATTTTTTTATTTTTATTTATCATGTCCTGGATGACTGGGGAGTCTTCACGAGCAACACAAAAACACTAAGCATTCTTAAAACGGGACGTTTTCACAAAATGAAGATAGCACGATTTATTTTATAGTATTACAAAGCTTACAGCTAGTTTGTTTGCCGTTATTTATAAAGTCAAAGTTTCTTTGTCGTTCAAACCACATGTGGTACATGAGGTGGAACAAAATCGTGTACACAGGGTCCCAGTTACATCCAACAAAAGTGTAAATTGTAAAGAAAAAACAGTAATAAGATCAAAGATATGAATGAATAAATATGCTAAACTAAGAATACACTAAGCACTAGTATAAAAACAATACACCGAACAGCAGCACGAACATGAGTCTGTGTGAGCAGATGAGTGAAGTCGTCACCTCCTGTTTTTACCAGAAGAGCTGCAGGTTGTTCTTCTGATTTCTGTTAAAGCAGAAATTTTCCACAGTGTCCAGATAAATGCTCAATAATCCAGGTAGAAAATCTAACAAGGATTTTTCCATTTTTTAAAGGATTTTTTTTAAAGTCAGGTCATCTGGACGGATTCTTCTTTCCACACAACGTTTTTCCACTTGTGACAAGTTTTGCTGAATAATGAAACTTTGTTAGAAGTTGTATTTATGAAGTGACCGGTTGCTTTTAAGTACAGTAGTCCCTCGCTACTTCGCGGTTCGACTTGCGCGGACTCGCTCTTTCGCGGTGTTTCAAAGTAAGATTGTACATGAGGCGTAAGAAAATAAATAAAATTGTATACGACACACGACTGTCAACATTACTCACGAGATTGGGACAGTACGGGATGCTGTACAGTAAAAAGTTAACAAAAAATAATTTACTTCGGACAGGCGCCACCATTTTGTAGTTTTCTCTCAATAAGCCTATACTGTATCCCCACTCATAACTACATTTCCCAGAAGCACCGTTGCCTCTTGCTGAAATATGTCGAGGGAAAGTTTTGATTTGATCGAATAAAAGTTTAGCCCTTATTCCTACAGCGACTTCGGTGGCCAGCGGGTGCGGAGAGCTGCACAGAAACCATGGAGAACCGGACCTCCAGACTCATGGGTCAATCTGAGAGCTGCTTGCCGGCCCACAAGGACCTCCAAGCGGGGACGCGCCACCCGTAGGTCCAGCGTTCTCTCTGGACCCCACCGTTACCACCCCAAGCCAGAGAGCCAACCAGAACCGGCAGGGTAGTTCTGCTGAAACGGAACAGAGTCGGACTGGAACAGAGCTACTGCTGTTCTGCAGAGCTGGTAAAATTTAGTAGCTACATTTACTTTTGTTGTTAAAATGATGTAGGTTTAAGAGTTTAGAACGTTACAAGATTGTGGAAGGGTTTCTAAAGCCTTTATATATATATATATATATATATATATATATATAAATACTAAAATAAATAAAACGTCACTACTTTGCAGATTTTCACTTATAGTGGGCGAGTCCAGAACAAAACTCCTGCGATAAACGAGGGACTAAAGACCTGATCCAAATGTGCACTTCGTCAATAAAAATCTTGTAAATGTTCAATAAATGCAAGTTTTTATTAATTGGGGGGTGGGGTGCTTTAAAATAGTTGATTAAATATCAGTTTTTGTTTTGTTGACGTATGTTTTGCTGTTTATTGCTGGTATTTGTTTATTACCTGGAGGGACTACGTATGAAAATCAGCCCAAGACTAAATTTGGTGCAAAGCAGCAAATGTTTTTACATTTATGTTAGAACTGCACACCATCCTGATTAAATAAAGCGAACGGAATAAAAATATTAAGGAACGCTTTTAGTCATATCTTGTGATTTAAAATGGCTAAAAGATAAACGGATGTAAAAATGAACATATTGATTAAATTGTACATGTTTTTTTTTTGAGTATGTAAATTTGTTAATTGCTTATGAAACTGACCAAAATGGGATTTCATACGTTTAATTAAATGTAAAAAACTGAATTCATTGAGATGCCTCAAATGTATTTGTACCATTTTTGTTCTGTTCAACTGATGGCACGCATCTATCTCGTAGGATGTCCTGCGAGGAGGAGCAGGAGGCCGAGGACAGTTGGAGGATGTCGTAAAGACCTTGAAAAGATGCTTTTTATAAACGTGCGGAGCGTCACAAACATTTGTCACGCACGTCGCAACAAAAAGCAAAAACAACAAAATCTTCATCCGGACCACCGGCTCCAAAAACTGGATAATGATTTTATTGATAATTGTATTACATTTCTCTTTTATACATATTTCATAAATGATACAGGATTTTACATTTGCTTTTTTTTTTTTGTTTGTTTTTTTGCCAACATTACAGCATCATGTCGTCTGGAGAGAGAAAAGAAAATCTAATAAAACGAGAGGCCAACAAGAAACTTTTCAATCCAGCTTAACTCTTAAAGCATTTTTTTAACATGTACATGAACACAAATAAAATATTTAAAATAAACACAGAATAAAAATGAGACTTTGGGTTTTAAAAAAGAATATCTGAAGGAGTATAAAAAAGACGGGAAATGAGCCAAAACTGGAGGTGTTCCCCGATACGTTTAAAGGCCGACGTCTCGAGCCTCCTTTATAGGTCCACATGTTTAACCACTCACTGGGGAGTGTGGACAGTCAGGGTGGGATTATGGGGAAATAAAGTAAAGATAGAACTGATTCGGGGGGGTTGAGCAGTTGGTTGTGTGGAGATTTGAATCCCACCCGGCAAAGCCGACCTTAAAGACGCAGCTCCGCCCGCTGCCCTTCAGAACTACGAATCTCTACAAACAATATTCTTAAATTATCTTTGCGCTTATTTTAATAAATCATCTTTTTTTTTTTGTACATATTTTCCCATGTAAACATACATTCATGCAACACCCTCTTTAGAATAAGTTTCCTTATATTTGATATACTTTGTTAGAAAAAAGAAAAGAAAAAGGCATTTAACGGTGGATGGAGTGATAAAAAGAAGGAGGAAGTGATGATGGAGAGCAGAGAGGGGAGGACGGGATCACAAACAGATTTATCAGCACAAAGCCAAGATCGACAGAGCTGTGTGTGTGTGTTGTAGTTTGTGTGTGTTAGCTGACAGATTTAAATAAATGTAAAGCGGAGGTGGAATGAGGATGGAATTGATTTTTACGAGTATCAACAAGCAGCAATTAAAAGACACAACTTAAGAACTTCTGTAAGTAATTGTGACTTCAAACCAGCTAAACTGGACCCTCCTTCATGTGATGAACCCTTTCCAGGTCACAGACGTTCATGGAATTGCTACCTTGTCGACATGGTTAAAATCATTGATTCTCCAAAAGGCACCATTTTTCTGAAGGACAACACACAAACATGAACGCGCACTGCACCCAGTCGGGCCTAAATCTGGTTTTGAGATCTGCAAGACTAAGTTCTGTTTCTTCCCAAACATGCATTTTAATATAAAACCTGCAGTTAAACGTTACGATCTCTTCAGCAGGATTCGACCGACTGGTTGCACAAAAAGCACGAGACGATCTTGAACTTTGTGCTGGGATGTTGACCCATTGAGTCCCCCCCGTTCTGCAGAGAGGGGTTTTTATTTTTATTTTAAGGCGGGAGATCAATGAGTCGTTATCCGGAACAGCGAGGCTGTCACAGACCCCCCCTCCTCCAAAAATGACAAAATAAAGCACAACAGAATGAACATAAACATATTCATAACCACAGATTTAACAAGAATGATGGAACCTCAGCAAGGTGTGGCAAAAATAAGTGTCCAATTTGGTATAAAACTGTAATAATTCTCCTACGTGTTCACACATTTCTACTGAGGGCATACCACAGCATGCAGTCTACCCTGCTTTGCCATTGAGGGAGCAGGGGGGCGGGTGGGGTCATTACAGCAGCAGTGAGAGGAGAAAACTCTTTATTTTACCAGTCTGATCATGTTTCACACAACCTTTGCATCCGTTTGGTTCTGGAAGTAAAGCGCAGCATTTTTCACGTTATTTTGCGTTGCTCAAACGAAACCGTTCGGTTCTGGTTAAAGCCACTTTTACCCCGACATGGCCTCGGCGCCACTTCCCCGTCTGTGTGGGCAAATACATGCAATGCTGCGGGAAAGTATTTGCACTCTTTACAGCAAACCAATGTTTATAGTAGGGGGATGCACAATATTGGATTTTTGGCTGATATCAGATACGCCGATATGTTAAAACTTCTTATGCCGAGAACCGATATAGATATTTTCCCCCTAGACCTACTTACAGAGACTACAAAGCTTTCTCTGCTGTGGAATTAAAAAACGACATTATCCTGCATGGTCTTTGTCAGTTAGGCCGCTACCAAATGCAGATGCCAAACAGGGGCTGAAAATGATGTAACACTATATATATATATATATATATATACATACATACATACATACATACATACATACATATATACATACATACTATATATATATATATATATATACATACATACATACATACATACATACATACATATATACATACATACTATATATATATATATATATATATATACATACATACATACATACATACATACATACATATATACATACATAC